TCTATCCTGTCCAACAGCATTTCTAAATCAGCATTTTTTATCTCAAAATTGACATACAAATACACACTGTATAAACCTTCTGTCATGTTTTAAACATTTTCTACAAATCCTCCACTGGCACAGGCTGGGAGAGCTGGGGGGGCTCACCTGGAGAGGAGCAGGATCCAGGCAGAGCTCAGAGCCCCTGGCAGGGCCTGGAGGGGCTCCAGGAGAGCTGCAGAGGGACTGGGGACCAGGGCTGATTTCTGAGCCACTCAGTGTCTGAGTTGGTAGAATCCGTAATTAATAAATGCAGGGCAGAATGCTGGTTTGAAATGTAAGATTTCAATAAGAACATTGCCACAGAAGGGTTGGGATGTTACCACTGTCAGGGAGGATTAAATACAATTATTGTGTGCAGGGGAAACCCATCAGGTGACTCTGTGCATTTCCAAAGGTGTGAAATCCAAAAGTGACAGAATATTCCCCTTCTCTCACCCCAGCCCAGGCTGGTTGTAGCAGTTTTTGTTCTTTCCCCAAGATAAAATTGCAGAGAAGTTTTCACTGTTGCAAGGAGAAGTGTGGGCTGGAAATCTCTGTAGGTGAGGAACCTCAGAGCTTGGCTTTCCCTCCTGGAAAACACCAGAGCTGAGCCCCAAAAATCCCTCACTTTGGGGTTTCTCTTCAGTACAAGCTGCTGGTTCTGCACCACAAACACAGAGAAGATCCCAAAACCACTTAAATTTGAACTCCAGCCCCAAAAAGCCTCAGAGGAAGCAGCTTTTCTTTTGATGCTGCCCTGGGATCAGGAGCTGCTGGCTCCCATTCCCTGGGGATGGGCAGGACCTGTGCACAGCAGTGCCCCTGGAACCCCCAGCTGGAAAGGCTGCAGAGGGATTTTGTGCCCAGCCAGGACTCACCATGTCCCAGTCTCTGATGTTCCTGCAGCTCGGATCTGGTCCTGGTGATGGACCTTTAATTAAAGCTGTTAATTAGTCAAGTTCAGCCTGTTCTGGGAGCTTTGTGGGGTCCTCCAGACTGATCCCATCCCCAGGTTTCTCCTGGGCTCTCAGTGGCTCCTGAACTGCAATTCCCTGTGATGCTGCACCCATCCCTGCTCCGGGGGTGCTCCAGGAACCCCAAAATCCTGGTGTGCCAGCCAGGATCCCCCTCGGGGTGCTGCTGTGGCAGGGTTGGTGTAGAGTGAGGCACTGAGGTGCCCTGGGGGCACCGCAGGAATCCCAACATCCTGGTGTGCAGTCAGAGATCCCTCTTGGGGTGCTGCTGTGGCAGGGTTGGTGCAGAGTGAGGCACTGAGGTGTCCCGGGGGCAGCCAACAGCTCCAGGAACCCCAAAATCCTGGTGTGCCAGCCAAGATCCCCTCAGGGTGCTGCTGGTGCAGAGTGAGGCACTGAGGTGCCCTGGGGGCACCCCTGGAACCCCAAATCCTGGTGTGCCAGCCAAGATTCCCCTCGGGGTGCTGCTGGTGCAGAGTGAGGCACTGAGGTGCCCTGGGGTGTGGGGAGCACTCCAGCTGGGCTCTGTTTTCCATTCTTGGGGAGCCCACGGGTCACCCCTGGGATCCCAGACTGGGAGTTTGGGGTGCAGTGCTGAGCTGGGAGTAGTGCAGAGGGGGAGGAGGAGTGAGTAAGTTCCCTCTCCACGGTGTCCCCACACGGGGCACATCCCCAGGGCCCAGCTGGCTTCGAAGCTCATGCCCAGGTGGAGGTGGCAGGGCAGGCTGCACACTGGAGCTGCTCTGGGGGCACCTGGCAGGTGTGTCCTGCCTCCCCTGGGACCCCAAAGCCCTGGGATGTGGTTCAGGGGGGAGGGGGGTGTACACTGATGACTCCATTGTTTTGCTGAAGTTGTTAAAGGGGTGTTTCTCTCCTTTTTTTGGGCTGCACTCCACCTGCAGAAGGTAAGACCAGACCCAGCACTGCTCTCTCCTAACACCCTCCCTGCCATTCCCTAACCCAGAGCCTGCTCCTGCCCTGCTCCTGGGAGTAACCCTGGAGTAATGCTGCACTCCCTGTGCCTCCAGCTGGGAACCTTGGGGCTTGGGAGCTCCTTGCTGGCCCTGTCCTTGTCCCTGTCCCTGCTGCCTGCGTGGGGCTGGGTTTGCATGTGGGGTTTGTGCTGCTTTGGGGGAGCTGCATGTTTGGGAAATGTTAACCTGGCACAGGAGCTGCTTCCCTAACCCTGGCACTGCCAGCCCTGGCACTGGGGGTGGCTGCACCCTCAGCAAAGAGCTCCTGCCTCACAGGAGGGGGGAACAGGGGATGCTCCAAAGGAAAAAGTGGGAATTTGTCCCCTGAGTGCCTGTGGCAGCTGGATCCGGGCAGTGAGGTGGGAGATGATTCCTGGGGATGGTTTTGTCTGGAGGTTGCCTTGGTGCCTTGGGGCAGAGACTGGACAGAGCTAAAGAATAAAGCAGGGATTTATTAAAGGATCTCAATGGATCCACCGTGGGCAGCAGCAGAGCCCAGCCAGGGCTGCACCCAGAACCCCAAATCCTGGTGTGCCAGCCAAGATTCCCCTCGGGGTGCTGCTGGTGCAGAGTGAGGCACTGAGGTGCCCTGGGGTGTGGGGAGCACTCCAGCTGGGCTCTGTTTTCCATTCTTGGGGAGCCCACGGGTCACCCCTGGGATCCCAAACTGGGAGTTTGGGGTGCAGTGCTGAGCTGGGAGTAGTGCAGAGGGGGAGGAGGAGTGAGTAAGTTCCCTCTCCACGGTGTCCCCACACGGGGCACATCCCCAGGGCCCAGCTGGCTTCAAAGCTCATGCCCAGGTGGAGGTGGCAGGGCAGGCTGCACACTGGAGCTGCTCTGGGGGCACCTGGCAGGTGTGTCCTGCCTCCCCTGGGACCCCAAAGCCCTGGGATGTGGTTCAGGGGGGAGGGGGGTGTACACTGATGACTCCATTGTTTTGCTGAAGTTGTTAAAGGGGTGTTTCTCTCCTTTTTTTGGGCTGCACTCCACCTGCAGAAGGTAAGACCAGACCCAGCACTGCTCTCTCCTAACACCCTCCCTGCCATTCCCTAACCCAGAGCCTGCTCCTGCCCTGCTCCTGGGAGTAACCCTGGAGTAATGCTGCACTCCCTGTGCCTCCAGCTGGGAACCTTGGGGCTTGGGAGCTCCTTGCTGGCCCTGTCCTTGTCCCTGTCCCTGCTGCCTGCGTGGGGCTGGGTTTGCATGTGGGGTTTGTGCTGCTTTGGGGGAGCTGCATGTTTGGGAAATGTTAACCTGGCACAGGAGCTGCTTCCCTAACCCTGGCACTGCCAGCCCTGGCACTGGGGGTGGCTGCACCCTCAGCAAAGAGCTCCTGCCTCACAGGAGGGGGGAACAGGGGATGCTCCAAAGGAAAAAGTGTGAATTTGTCCCCTGAGTGCCTGTGGCAGCTGGATCCGGGCAGTGAGGTGGGAGATGATTCCTGGGGATGGTTTTGTCTGGAGGTTGCCTTGGTGCCTTGGGGCAGAGACTGGACAGAGCTAAAGAATAAAGCAGGGATTTATTAAAGGATCTCTTCAATGGATCCACCTTGGGCAGCAGCAGAGCCCAGCCAGGGCTGCACCCAGGATGAACCCAAATGGTCCCAAAATGCACGATGGTCACGGGGTCTGTCCCTGGGCTCAGCTCTGCTCCATGTGCACATTGCAGTTAATTATCCAATTACAGCTTTAGTCTATGAAGTCCCATCCTTCCTGTTTTTCTCTCCTCTGTTTGTGCTCCTGGGCTGAGATTGGGATCATTTGTCCTTGGTGCCCAGCTGGGGCAGGAATTGTTTTGTGTCCCTGCTCTGTGCACAGAGCTCACCATCCCCTGATGTGAAACCCAGACACACTAAAGCAGCACAGAATGTGAAAAATAGAAAAGCTAAACCTGAGACATCACCCTTGGCATTGGTGAACCTTTCCTGGGGCTGAGTGACCTCAGTGGGGACAAGCCAGGGCATTCCCAGGGGCATTTCCCTGCCCAGCAGCTCCCTGTGCCCGTGGGATCCCAGGAGCCCTGCTGGGGGAATCACTCATGGACCTGCTGGGCAGGGAAAATGGAGCAAAACCCCACTGGGAGGGAGAAATCCCCAGGGGATGAGCTGGGAGAGGGCTGGCAAGTCCAAATCCATCCCAAGGGGATCCAGGAGGGAAGGGCTGGGTCCCACTTTGGTTTGGGAATGGGAGAAGTCACCTCGGTACCTGAGGCCTTGGAGGAGGAGTGGTGGGAAGAGGGAATCCAGGGGGATTCCAGAGGGATTGCAGGGGGATTGCAGGGGGAAGGGATTCCACTTTCCTGGGGCTGAGTGACCTCAGTGGGGAGGGCATTCCCAGGGGCATTTCCCTGCCCAGCAGCTCCCTGTGCCCGTGGGATCCCAGGAGCCCTGCTGGGGGAATCACTCCTGGACCTGCTGGGCAGGGAAAATGGAGCAAAACCCCACTGGGAGGGAGAAATCCCCAGGGGATGAGCTGGGAGAGGGCTGGCAAGTCCAAATCCATCCCAAGGGGATCCAGGAGGGAAGGGCTGGGTCCCACTTTGGTTTGGGAATGGGAGAAGTCACCTCGGTACCTGAGGCCTTGGAGGAGGAGTGGTGGGAAGAGGGAATCCAGGGGGATTCCAGAGGGATTGCAGGGGGGATTCCAGAGGGATTCCAAGGGATTGCAGTGGTGAAGGAATTCCAGAGGGATTGCAGGGGGATTCCAGAGGGATTCCAGGGGGATTGCAGTGCAGGAAGGAATTCCAGAGGGATTGGAGTGCAGAAAGGATGGTCCAGAGGGGAAGGGATGTTCCAGATGGATTCCACAGTGGGGAAAGGATGCTCCGGAAGGGAAGGGATGTTCCAGAGGGATTGCAGTGGGAGAAGGGATGCTCCAGAAGGATTGCAGTGGGAAAGGGGTGATCCAGAGGGATTGCAGTGGGAAAGGGGTGACCCAGAGGGATTGCAGTGCAGGAAGGGATGATCCAGAGGGAAAGGGATGCTCCAGAGAAGAAGGGATGCTCCAGGGGGAAAGGGATGCTCCAGGGGGAAAGGTATGCTCCAGGAGGATTCCACAGTGGGCAGGGATCCTGCACCTCCTTCCTCCCTTTCCCCAGCAGCTCTCAGAGCAGACTCCTCACCATAACCTTCATTTTCCACTCAAACCCCTTTTCCCTGCTCAGTCTGAAAGAAGCTTTGAATTTAATGTGGAGTTAAAAATGTCCTGCAGTTTGGGAATTCTGGGAGGGAAACCACGGTTTGTGTGGGTCAGGCTGAGGTGTTGGGTAGTTCAGGGCAGAGCTCAGAACAACAATTCCTTGTGCCTTGGGGTGGCCACAGAGCTGCCATTTCCCTGCAGACACCTCCAAACTCTGGTTTAGCCCTTCCAGCAGCCATTTCAGTGGGAGAAGGGATGATCCAAAGGGGTTGCAGTGCAGGAAGGGGGGCTCCAGAGAAGAAGGGATGCTCCAGGGGGAAAGGGATGCTCCAGGGGGAAAGGTATGCTCCAGGAGGAAGCTTTGTAAATTCCGGATCCTGCACCTCCTTCCTCCCTTTCCCCAGCAGCTCTCAGAGCAGACTCCTCACCATAACCTTCATTTTCCACTCAAACCCCTTTTCCCTGCTCAGTCTGAAAGAAGCTTTGAATTTAATGTGGAGTTAAAAATGTCCTGCAGTTTGGGAATTCTGGGAGGGAAACCACGGTTTGTGTGGGTCAGGCTGAGGTGTTGGGTAGTTCAGGGCAGAGCTCAGAACAACAATTCCTTGTGCCTTGGGGTGGCCACAGAGCTGCCTTTTCCCTGCAGACACCTCCAAACTCTGGTTTAGCCCTTCCAGCAGCCACAAGAAGTAAGGAATGTGCCTGTGCTGCCAGCACAGGGTCTGTCACCTGCTGGAGATCCCCTTGGGAGCATTGGCCAGCTCACTGGGGAAAGTGTGGCTGTGGGAAATGGTCATTTTCAGAACAGAATCAATATTTATAAGCTGTCAAAACCTCTTGTTCAGAAAAAAAAAAAGTAAGAAAATACAATTTAGGTGGAATTCAGAGCTTTGTAAATTCCAGAAGTCCCTAAAATTGGTTATTTTTAGCTGGATTAGAGGGAAGTCTTTACTAATCCACCACTTTCTGTGGCAGGCAGCACCCACCAAAACCCCTCATTCAGGCAAAGAAATATAAGAAAATACAATTTAGGTGGAATTCAGAGCTTTGTAAATTCCAGAAATCCCTAAAATTGGTTATTTTTAGCTCGATTAGAGGAAAGTCGTGACTAATCCACCACTTTCTGTGCCAGGCAGCACCAACTTCACCCAAACCCTGTCCAGCCTGGCCTTGGGCACTGCCAGGGATCCAGGGGCAGCCCCAGCTGTGCCAGCCCTGCCCACCCTGCCAGGGAACAATTCCTCATTGCCAATCTCCCATCCAGCCCTGCCCTCTGGCACTGGGAGCCATTCCCTGTGCCCTGTCCCTCCAGCCTTGTCCCCAGTCCCTCTGCAGCTCTCCTGGAGCCCCTCCAGGCCCTGCCAGGGGCTCTGAGCTCTGCCTGGATCCTTCTCCTCTCCAGGCTGAGCCGTTTTTTGGTTCCAGCTTAAAGCACTGGGTTGACCCCAGCTTAACCCCGCTGGCCTTTGCCAAGGGAGGGATTTGTCCCTCCCTGGATCTTCTCAGGCTCCAGTCCCCTGGGAATGACGATCACACCTCAGCTGTGGGGAACTGAAGTGGCCTAAAACTTCCCAGAGCCAATAAATTGGGAATTTCCCACTTCTCCCACTGGAGATCCAGGCACGAGAGCTGGGCTGGGGCTGGGCTGAGCTCCTGGAGAGGGAAAAGCCAGAAAGCTTCAGAGTGTGCTGGAAATGCCAGGGAAACGTGGCCTGGGCAAGGCTGGCAGGTGTCCTGAGCTCTGGCAGGTGTCCTGAGCTCTGGCAGGTGGGAATTTTTGTGGGAATTTTGTGAGAATTTTTGGGAATTTTTGTGGGGAATTTTTTGGGAATTTTTGTGGGAATTTTTGGGAATTTTTGTGGGAATTTTTGAGAATTTTGTGAGAATTTTGTAGAATTTTTGTGGGGATTCTGCAGGAATTTGGTGCTTGCAGCCCAGCTGGTTTGGGTGCACAGAGCCCAGGACTGCCCTGTGCCTCCAGCCTGTCCCAGTCCTGACCTTCCCGGGGCTCTGGGCTGGGATGGGAGCAGTGGGAACAGCAGGGTTCGCTGCATTTTCCCATGATCCCCTTCCCCCGTCTGTCCCTGGCTCTGGGGAGTGCTTAAAGGTGATTATCCCACTCCCAAAATTGGAGTTTGCTGCCTACCAGCAGGGAATTCCCACCTGGAATAAAGCTGGGATAGCACAGGCTGTGAGTGCACAGCCCTGGAAAGCCCAATCCCAAGCAATATTTGCATGGAAAAGCAGCTGAGGGTGCTGAATATCCCACATCTGTGGGGTGGCCATCCCCCATTGTGTCCAGAGCAGTGTCCTTGCCAGCATGGACTGCAGCAGGAATCCTCTGCCCAAGGTTTGGCCAAAAATGACTTTTGGGAGCCTTGGATGAGGCAGCAGCTGTTTAGTGGAGGTGGAGGATGTCCCTGTGAGGTGCATTCTGTCAGGAATTGATCAGTTTTTATCAGGGAATTGATCCAGTTTGATCAGGGAAATGCTCCTGTGGGCAGAGCAGTGCCCTGGAGGGGCAGCTCCATCCCGTGGGGTGGCTGAGCCCTGTGGGAAGGGCTCGTGGTACTGGGCAGGACAAATCCCAATGTCCTGGTTGTGCCTGGGGTCCCTTCCCTGGGCACAGGTAAGATTTGGGGTGGGACCAGCCCAGGCAGGTCCAGGGAAGTCTCTTCCTGCTGTGGGTTCCTGGCATTTGGAGTCATGGAGTGATGGAATGGTTTGGTGGGAAGGGACCTCCAAGCCCATCTCATCCCACCCCTGGGGCACCTCCAGCCCAACTCTAATCCCAACCCTGGTGCCATTCCTGCCTCTGACTGAGAGGGTTGAGCTGCTGCACCTCCAGCCAAGAGCCAGAGCTGGGCTCAGAGCCCAGGCTGATCCATCACCACGATCCCAACCTGAAGAACATCACTGATCCATCACCATGACCTCAACCTGGAGAACATCCCTGATCCATCACCATGATCCCAAGCTGGAGAACATCTCTGATCCATAACCATGATCCCAGCTGAGAACATCACTGATCCATCTCCATGACCTCAACCTGGAGAACATCACTGATCCATCACCTTGACCCCAACCTGGAGAACATCACTGATCCATCTCCATGATCCCAACCTGGAGAACATCACTGATCCATCTCCATGATCCCAACCTGGAGAACGTCTCTGATCCATCACCATGATCCCAACCTGGAGAACATCACTGATCCATCACCACGATCCCAACCTGGAGAACATCACTGATCCATCACCACGATCCCAAGCTGGAGAGCATCACTGATCCATAACCATGATCCCAAGCTGGAGAACATCACTGATCCATCTCCATGATCGCAAGCTGGAGAACATCACTGATCCATAACCACGATCCCAAGCTGGAGAACCTTCCAGGACAGGAGCTTTAGAAATAACTGAGGGCCTTGAGGGAGTTTCCTGAGAGGGCCTTGGGGGAGCAGAGCAGTCTCAGCTCCAGGGGTTCTTCAGCAATTCTAGACCTTGGCCAGGTCCTGCTGAGCTCCAGGGGTTCTTCAGCAGCTCCAGACCTTGGCCAGATCCTGCCGAGCTCCAGAGGTTCTTTAGCAGCTCCAGACCTTGGCCAGGAATGGTGTGGCCAGCAGGAGCAGGGAGGTCACTCTGCCCCTGCAGTGGGCACTGGTGGGATCACACCTCGAGTGCTGTGCTCATCTCTGGCCCCGCAGTTTGGGAAGGATGTTGAAGACCTGGAGAGTGTCCAGAGGAGGCAACGAGGCTGGAGAGGGGCTGGGAACACAAACCCTGTGAGGAACCACTGAGGAACCCTCTGAGGAACCTCTGAGGGAGCTGGGGGTGCTCAGCCTGGAGAAAAGGAGACTCAGGGGTGACCTTATCACCCTCTACACCCCCCTGAAAGGTGGCTGTGCTCAGCTGGGCTGGGCTCTTTCTCCAGGCACTGACAGAACCAGAGCACACAGCCTCCAGCTGCACCAGGGAAGTTCAGTCTGGATCTCAGGAAAAAGGTTTTTCCAGCAAGGTGATGAAGTTCTGGAATGCTCTGCCCGGGGAGGTGCTGCAGTCCCCATCCCTGGGGGTGTTTAACAAAGCCTGGATGTGGCACTGGGGGCCAGGGCTGAGCTGAGCTCTTGGGGCTGGGCTGGACTCGATGGGCTTGGAGGTCTCTCCCAACCTGGGGATTGTGGGAATTTGGGAATTCTGTGCCAATGAGCAGAATCTGGTTCCTGGGGCTGGTTTTAGGCAGCTGCTGCACTCCAGGTCAGCAGGGGCAGCCCAGGTGCAGAACACAGAGTGGGAGAGCAGAATCAGAAAATGTTGGGGGATTGTGGGCACAGGGGCAGCAGAGACCCAGCAAGGGCTGCAGTCCTCCCATTATCCCATTATCCCATTGTCCCATTGTCCCATTATCCCATTATCCCATCATCCCATCCCAGAAGAACACGTTCCACCTCCAGAATAAACCTTTTCCCAGCCTCCGTGGGGCTGATGGTGAGCAGAGCCTGCTGTGAGCCCAGGAGAGCACCCCGAGCTCTTTCCCTCGGGCTCAGGCAGGTCCAGCACGGCCCCAGCAGCTTTGGGTTCATCTGAGTTCTGGGGGAGCAGCTGGGCTTGCTTTCATGTCCTTTTGGGGCTGGTTTGGTGGGGTTTTAAATTTGGGGTCCCTATGTCCAGTTTGAGGTTTCTCTATCCAGTTTGGGATTCCTGTGTCCAGTTTGGGGTTTTGTGTCCAGTTTGAGGTTTCTCTATCCAGTTTGAGATTCCTGTGTCCACTTGGGCTTCTGTGTCCAGTTTGGAGGTTCCTGTGTCCAGTTTGTGATTCCTGTGTCCAGTTTGAGGTCCCTATGTCCAGTTTGAGGTTTTTCTGTCCAGTTTGGGATTCCTGTGTCCATTTTGGGGTTTTGTGTCCAGTTTGAGGTTCCTGTGTCCAGTTTGTGATTCCTGTGTCCAGTTTGGAGGTTCCTGTGTCCCGTTTGGGGTTCTGTGTCTAGTTTGAGGTTCTGTGTCCAGCTCGGGATTCCTGTGTCCAGTTTGGGATTCCTGTGTCCAGTTTGGATGTTCGTGTGTCCAGTTTGAGGTTCTGTGTCCAATTTGGAGGTTCCCGTGTCCTGTTTGAGGTTCTGTGTCCAGTTTGGGATTCCTGTGTCCAGTTTGAGGTTCCTGTTTCCAGATTGGATGTTCATGTGTCCAGTTTGAGGTTCTGTGTCTAGTTTGAGGTTCCTGTGTCCAGTTTGGGGTTCTGTGTCCAGTTTGGAGGTCCTGTGTCCACTTTGGATGTTCATGTGTCCATTTTGGAGTTCTGTGTCCCGTCTGAGGTTCTGTGTCCATTGGGGTTCCCTGTGTCCAGTTTGTTGTCCCTGTGTCCTGTTTGAGGTTCTGTGTCCAGTTAAGGGTCCCTGTGTCCAGTTAAGGGTCCCTGTGTCCAGTTAAGGGTCCCTGTGTCCAGTTAAGGGTCCCTGTGTCCAGTTAAGGGTCCCTGTGTCCAGTTAAGGGTCCCTGTGTCCAGTTAAGGGTCCCTGTGTCCAGTTAAGGGTCCCTGTGTCCAGTTAAGGGTCCCTGTGTCCAGTTAAGGGTCCCTGTGTCCAGTTAAGGGTCCCTGTGTCCAGTTAAGGGTCCCTGTGTCCAGTTAAGGGTCCCTGTGTCCAGTTAAGGGTCCCTGTGTCCAGTTAAGGGTCCCTGTGTCCAGTTAAGGGTCCCTGTGTCCAGTTAAGGGTCCCTGTGTCCAGTTAAGGGTCCCTGTGTCCAGTTTGGGATTCCTGTGTCCAGTTTGAGGTCCCTGTGTCCCTTTGGATGTTCTTGTGTCCATTTTGGGGTTCTGTATCCAGTTTGGTGTCCCTGTGTCCAGTTTGGTGTCCCTGTGTCCAGTTTGGGGTTCTATATCCAGTTTGAGGTCCCTGTTTCCAGATTGGATGTTCATATGTCCAGTTTGGGGTTCTGTGTCTAGTTTGAGGTCCCTGTGTCCAGTTAGGGGTCCCTGTTTCCAGTTTGGGGTCCGTGTGTCCAGTTTGAGGTTCTGTGTCCAGTTCTGGATGTTCATGTGTCCAGTTCGGGGTTCTGTGTCTGGTTTGGGGTCCCTGTGTCCAGTTTGGGGTCCCTCTGTCCCTCCCTGGGGACACAGCTCACCTGCTGGGCTGCCTGGGC